CAGCATTTTAAAAGCCTTTAGCTCAATTCAAAGGAAATGGGATAGCTTAACTTTTGCACCGATTCCAAGGAATACTGGGAAGAACTGCAGCTGGGCTCCGGCCTGCACCATGCAATGAGAAATTACGTGGACTTGGACACAGCAGTTGCACCAGCAGTGCGCCTGGCTCTTCCCCACCCCTCGAGACCTCGTCCAGGTCAACAGCTGCTTACTAGGTTTCTACTGTGTGAGGCCCAATGGTACAAGGGAGAGAGGGCCAGCGCTGCCTGTCCTCCAGAAGTCAGACTCTCACCCCCTCATTTTGATGAGAATTACGCCTTCCCAACTGTTTAACACTTACGATGTCCTAGTTTCTATTCCCACTTACAGAAGAGCACAAGGGTCAGGGGGACTGCAGGAAATGTCTGCAGTTGTCAGACAGTAATTAACAAAGGCAGGACTCAACCCTGGTGTCCTGCTTCAGTTCAGACTTAGCCATCCATATGGCCACGTTTCTTTTCAGTTTTTAGTGTTGGTACCGGGGATTGAACCCAGGTCCTTCTCACTGAGCTAGACTTTTTTTTTTCTTTTCTAGACCATCTTGCTAAATTGCTCAGGCGGATCTACAACTTGCTATCCTCCTGCCTCAGCCTCCCAGAGTACCCAGCATTACAGGGGCATGCCACACCCCCAGCTCACATTGCCTTTGAAAGTTTTGCTCAAGGGAGATGGACTCTAGCTGACCCTCTATGACAAACGGGCAACCACATCCCCCGAAAAGGCCTTCCGAGCCCCGCTGAGCTCATCCAACTTGACCTGACTGACATTTAGGGAACACCTGCTGGCTTTCAGACAGCACACTGGCTGACTTGACAATGGCCATCTCAGCCTTGCTCCTCACACTGAGCAAAGGTTCGTGATTTATACTTGGCCCCTGGTGTGAAGTCCTGGGTTCAGTGTGAAGCCTAATAAATGTCATCTTAAAAAAAATGAGCAGTACAGGTCAGCGGCCAGTTAGTATATTTAGCTGCACATCACCTAACTGCAGCACGCTCCGTCACCCACGCCAACACCCTGCACCCTAGATGTCACTGCCCATTCTTCCTTCACGAGCCCCCGGCAATGAGCGTCCTCTGTGTCCCTAGGGATTCACCTATTCTGGATGCTTCCTACAAATGGGATCGAATAGCACATGGCCTCCCGAGGCCAGCTTCCTCTTCTTGGCATGCTGCCTTCAAGGCTCCCATGTGACAGCCAGCGTCCTCTTCCACAGCCCAACACTGTTCCACTGGGTGGACTTAGCGCATGGTTTCCTGCTCGTTACACCCTCAGGCAGCTCGGTTCTCGCTGAGCCATCATGAGACACGCTGCTCTGAACGCCAACACCAAGGTGGGTGCAGGGTCGGCCCTCTTGGTCTATACCTGGGGCACTGATGAGTGACACGGAAATTCTTTAATTTTTCAGTCGTCAACTTTTTCCCACAGCCTGTACTATTTCACTTTCCCATTAACAGTGAAGTCTCAAGATTCCCCCACGCTCTCCGATGCACTATTTTCCTTTTATTATTACTGCCATCCCAGTGGGTATAAAGTGACCCCACGGTTAGGAGCTGCACTGGCCCAACTACGTTCACCTCCATTCGTGTGCTTATGGCCAGCAGGATGTTTCCGAGAAACGTCCATTTGAATCCTTTGCCCTCTTTTACAGCGAGCTGTCTTGTAAATTATTTATACATTTGGATTCCCAACCCAGATATATAACTGGAAGCTATCATCTCCCGTTCTGTGGGTGTCTTTGCTTCCTTATTAATTTTGATACCACCAGCTTATCTTCTAATTGGCTTCTTGTGTTTCTAGTGCCACACCCCAAGTCACTGCTGCACTGAAGGGCTCGAGCTTCCCGTGTAAATATGATTTCAAAACTAGACTCTCAGTCCTGCTCTTCTCCCAAGAGGAAGAGAGTCAGAAACACGAAGTTCTCTGGATAGTATTAAGTGAGTCAGAGCCTCTACTTGGTGTTAAAAATCTTTTTACTAGGGGACAAGAATGAGGTATTAGAATAATTATTCATAAATTATCTCCTAAATTGATAGCTTATATAAAGTGCATGAAGTAACTTCTAACTATTATTATATTAATCATTATAATTATCCTGAGATTTAAAAATCACTGTTCTGAATAAAATAACGAAAGTTTGGAATTGATGATTAAGAGAAAGAAGAGGCACAGTAGCATGTGACCGCAAGTGTTGAGGGGCTTTTCTAAGCCTGCTCTGTTAGCAACAGAAGGGATAATACGTGTACCTCAAGCCAAGAAAAAGTCTCCTAAAATTTGGAAACAGAAAGAAACTTTCATTTCCTACCTTGTTTCAATTTGTTACGCAGATGCACGCTAAAGAGCTCAAGATACGTTTAACGGTGTAGACCAGGTTTCTGGTCCTTTGTGGCTTTTTGCTCAGAATATTTTATCACAGAACTTATCACCGGCATTTCAGAGCCCTGTGCCTCTCGCAGCATCCTTGTCTCGCCCCCCAGGGAGAATCTGAGGTACGCGCACGACCACTTAGTACTGCATGACCAGCACACCTCAGCCATATGGGACACCATGGGACATAAAGGTACTGTGCACACACAGGGTTGATTTTCCAGATTAGCAGGCGAGTGTCTTGGGTAGTGGTGGAACCCTTTCTAAATTTACCATCGGGATAGCTGTGGGGTGGTGGACGGGTGTTCTTACATCTTGCATACAGTACTGGGGAGTGTGTCCAACCTCTAGCACTGTACTTATCAGGTGTTAAGTTCTGGGGAACCCATCTGAGATTTCGAGGTTATTCTGAGTAGTTGTCAGCTCTACTGTATTCATACGCATGGTCAATGTGACAATCATAGCCATATACTTAGAAACCAATCAATGGCCTACAAAGAACTCTTGCTTGCTGTGTTTGAAGTAAAACTAATGGCATGGATGGCCATTATAAATGATTATTAGGAACTATTTTTTTTAATGTATTTAGTACACGGTCTACAGGGTCTCACTACACAGATTAGACTTGTAGTGACTGTCTTGTTTTCAGCCCCACAGCCATCTCAACATGCCCGGGGGGCGGGGCTGGCACAGCACACCAGGGATCGAATCCCAGTCGCATGCTGTGCTCTATCAAAGCAGGCACTTTAGTTCACTGAACTGTCTGGCCGGTCCAGAACTATTTAAAATATACTGATTCTTCAATAAAAAAATATAAAAAAATCAAATTCCCAGAAGAAATTCAAATGGCTGTTAAGTTTAAGAAAAACTCAATTTTACTAGCAATAAAATCAATGTAAAAATAAAGTTGTGAATTGTAGTTTTCACTTACTCTATTGGCCAAAGAAATAGTGCTGGTGAAGGCAGGACCTAATGGCGCTCACGTGCCTCTGACGGCAGCAGACACTGCTGAGTCTCCACGACAGTCAGGCCGTCAGATGCACATTTCCTCAGACTCAGATGCTGCATCTCTGGGACAGTACTTGGTTGAGCAAAACACAGAAGCAAAGGTTTCTGTAAAGAATGTTTACTGCAGCTTCCCTGTTAGCACTGAGGCAGCACCAAGATTCTTTTGTGTCATGGCTGCTGGAGTTCACTTAGATCTCGAGGAAGAACGAGAAGTTGTAAGGTGCCAAACTCAGCGAGGAGGGCGCCAGGGTGGCCCTGCGCTCCGAGGAGATGGTGCTGGGCAGCAGCACCTGCTGGCCTGTTTACGGCACCTCGCACAAGCACCCACGTAGGAGGACTCTGGAGCTGCTCCAGAAAGTAGCAGCAATGCTGGGATCTGCGCGCTGCTGCAGTGAGCAGCAAAGTCTCTGGAATGAATTTAGAAAACTGAAATGCATACTTGTATTTCCATTGTGTAGAAACAGCATGTTGAATGGAATGCTGGATAAAGTGTCCCCAGTGTGCCTGACAGTTTTCTTTAAAGTCCAAGAGGGTTTCAGCATATCCCAAACTCATGAATTACAGTTCACGTCATAGTCAGAAGCATAGGAAACTAGAGGTAAGATTATTTCAGACTTAAAACAGCTGATATCTACAACTAGTGGGTGGCACAGGACAACGACCTACATTTAAATTCTTAGCCACAAAATGTGCATCACAGGAAGGACCCTGTTGAGTCAACAACTGCGCCACAAAAGCATGAATAATCCCAGGGAACCGGCACCCTTTCTGAGGCAGCAGAATCCGGAGAATTCAGCTTTCTGGAGCTCACGTCATTTACCCGTGTTCTGAACACAAACATCAGAAGCATGCACTTACAAAGTAACTTCTGCGCTTCTAGCCCTGCTGCGGCCTTCCCCGGAGAGGAGGACACTGCTGAAATTTCAGAAGGCCCAGGCCTGGGCTCTCCCCTCTGCATGTCACCTGCTGCCCACACCCGCATTTCCCAGCCTATAATTGGCACTGTCTTCTCACCTGCAGCAAAGCCCCAGCCTGGCCATGTTGGACACAGACCTTTCAAGGCATGACATCCTCAATGATTGGGACAGCACTTTAATGTGAATGTCACTTAGTATTATTTTGAAAGTGGGAGATTTTCAAAGATGAGCTCACATTGATAGGCTTTTGTTTGCATTTTTAAAAATTAGATCTGTTGCAGCAGAGCTTTATCTTGTTTTTAAGAACTTTTAAAACAGTATTTTGGGCCGGCCAGCTAGCTCAGTGGACTACAGCGCCTGCTTAGGCAGAGTGCAGCGGCCAGGGTTCAATCCCTAGTGTGCTGTGCCAGCCCCGCCCCCGGGTACGCAGAGACAGTGATTGAGACTGGCCATGGTGATGTGCGCCTGTAATCCCAGAGCTTGGGAGGCTGAAAACAGGAGGATCACTACGAGTCTGATCTGCGTTGTGAGACCTTGTAGACCCTGTACTAAATTAAAAAAAACATTCGTATTTTAATTTTTATTGTACATTGTTGGCCATTTCTGTGATAGTGAGTTGGATACAATTTTTCTATACTAGCACAGATTATTACTACAATAATAATATTAAAGGCCAGAAAATTAAAGGTTTGATCGATGGAAGAAATTCTCTACCTCATTTGCAATACTAATATGAAACACTGTAGAATTTAGGAAAGACACTAAGAGGCAGGTATTTTGCAGACAAGAACACCTTTTATTTTAAGCCACACACAGTCAGCAGGTGGCCCCAACTATCCATGTTTCATTAAAATCACATAAAACCGAGGTACAAAAGCACCACTGATTATTGCTCTAGAAAAATTGCGTGAAAAATTCAAACCCGCACAGTAAAAGCAGCACAGTACACACAGGACCACGCTCTCAGAGCGGCGGCAAGCGCTGCCCCATCCATTCTATACGCAGCTTCCAATACTAGGATGGCATTTCTTTTTTTGATAACGGTAAGAACTTCCAAAAGCTGACTAGGCAAGTAAAATGTGCACCCTTATATATTTTGTATGCCAACTAGTAGAGTCCTAAAAAACTAGCGTTTACAAAATACTTGGTAAAAATAGCTTTTAAAAGATGTCCCAGAGGGACATAAAATCACCCCAACTTTTTGCGCCAATTTATTCTCCCTTGATATCTACAGATTCAGTTTTCTGTGCCTGTGAAAAATAAAGAAAAAGATGAAAGTTATTACTAAACCTACAAATCCCAAGAAAGTCCTCCCACCGGCACACACCTCTAATCGGCGCTAGTTGGCAGCTCTACTGTACAGCCTACTGCAACTCAGGTGGAGAACAGACAGGCAGGGACGGGTTATGGTAACACCGTTGCATTTGTTGCTTCCTGCTTTTCGAACGGCAGAAGCCTTACCTGAGATGTCCCACTGCTCCTAACAAAAAGCGCCACACTACTATCTGACTCTAGTCACTGCACACATGCGCCACGTTCTACTGTACCCTTAACTCGCACTGTCTGCACCTGCCCCTGCACCGACAGGGTGCCGGGTGGGGTGCGTCTGCAGGCTGAGACACTAACAGCCGAGCGAGAGACGTGGATCTGCAATTACATCACAGGCAACAGAGAGACACGTGAGCGCGCTGTCACTGGCTGAAGGACCAAGCAGCTTGCTCAGGACACTGACTCAATCAGGGGGAGCCGTTTGGGCAAGTACCTCTTGGGCTTCAGTTTCACCATTTTCAGATGGCGTAGTACCTTCTGCACCGGCCTCCTGCTTCTCTTCCCGCTTGCCCTTAGCTCCTGCGTTACTCTTCGGTCCAGGTTCTTTCTAACAGAGAAATTGAAGCACAGGGAAGATTATGTGAGACGCTACCTCGTGTTGGCTAAGATCAGACTCTTCGAACACAAGGCGAACACAGAAAATGCCACAACGGTGGCACTTAAGGGACAGTGCGAACCAATTTTGCTGTGTTCCAACTGACTTAACCTGAGTGTGTGACAATGTACAGGCCGCTTTCCCACCTGTGGCCCTAAGTGAGAAGCGGGCTCCTTGGTGCAGTGGCAGGGGGAACAGGAGGGCTCTCCGGAGGGCGGTGCGCAGCCAAGGCACACTGGGCACACTCCTGATCACTCTGTACTGCAGTGCAAACACTGTGTGTGTGTGATGCACTGCAACAAGCCAGACACGAGGCTCGCGCGAGAAGGGCACAGCACCTGCGCTAGCGCTGCTGCTGCTGCTGTGAGTGGCTACACCGCTGTCCTTGACCATCAGACCACCACTACACGAGGTCCTTGCCACACTCTATGCTGGGGGTCACACCCCCACCAGGGCCCAGCCCTGGTCCACCCCAGAGGCTGCGAGCACTCCTGTGGACCTGGGGCTTCTTGTAGCAAGGCACTCCGACTTTCTGTGCCTCACTGACCAAATGGAAAACATTTTTGCTAAGTCGTAAAAGTGCTTTATGCTTTTTAAGAAAACACAGCAGTAGTACTTTACTCTGGTCAGTACTTTTTAATCAAATCACGCGGCCTTGCTTGGATGACTTTCGGGTATCGCATCATCGTTCATTCACTGCTTCAGAAGCAGAAGGTAGCAAGAGGGGAGCAGCTCTTACCTTGGTAGATGTTTTTCTCGGTTTAGGTTCAGGTTTTGGTGGAGCAGGTTTCTGCAAAGACAGTGTGAATTACACCAACACTGACAAGGACATCAGCGCCAAGAGAAACACGAAAGGCGAAGGATGACCCTTTCCTCTGAGACTGCCTGTTCACCCGGAGGCCGCCTTGGCCTGTCGTCGGCATCAGGCAGCAGCACACAGGCGGCAGCATCTCATGGCTCTTCATCCGCCTCTGCAGCTAAGCCCTGGTGCCGTGGAAAGCTCCCTCCTTACTCCCCCTCCAGAACCCAGCACCTCTGTGAACAGGCTTATGCTTCTATCACTGCTGTCTCCACTTCCTCCTATTACAGTGTGGCAGCCGAGGAAGGACTCGGGCCTCCCGCCACAGGACTCAGGCGAGTTTGGGTGGCCCTGGCCTTCTCGGCAGCCTGGAAGTCACAGCACAGCCACAGGCAGAGCATACCTGAGAACGAAGACGTGTGTCTAGGAAGCAGCTGAAAACCACCTGCAAGCCCTTCCCGTAAGACACAGACCTCAGGCTCGCCAGGCAAGTTTCTTCCTATTCCTCTCCTCTACAGCATCAGCGGAAGGGGGGAATCTTGCCCACTCTGACACTGCGCTCATTGACCTCTAATGCTTCGCATTGAATTATAGTGACAAGCCAGGCGTGGTGCTACAAACCTGTAATCTCTGTACTTGGGAGCCTGAGGTAGGGGGATCACCATGAGTTCTAGGCTAGCAGTGAGTTCAGGCCAGCGTGAATGAGACCCTGTCTCAAAAAAAAAAAAAAAAAAAATCGCAGTGACAACACGTTCACTGCTGGCCCTTAAAAGCTGATGGCTGTCACAGACACTGTTAGCCAAGGAGCTCCGTAAGAAGCTCTCTTCTGTCATCTTGCATGGTCCTCCTCCATTCCCATGAGCAGCAGCCAAGCACTGTGCCTGTGGCCATCCCCCAGAACTGCAGACCTGGCCACCAGGTGACTGAGATGGGGGGGGAGGGGGCACCCAGAAGGCCTGGAAAGACTTTAGGCCACGGGTTCTCTGTAGGTGTCTTAAGGCAAATATTTCTGTCAAAGCAATACAGTAAAATAAACGTACATCTCTCCCAGCACTAGAAGCTTGGTTCTGAAACAGAAAACAAAGGCAGTCTTCCCTGTGCAGAAAAAGGCATGGCTCTCCCCAGGGCCTCTGCAGGGTTTTAGTTCATTCTGAATCTGGCTCTGCACATTAAGTGAAATCACCAACGGTGGATTCTAGAAGGCCTGCTGTTCAAAAGTAACTTTCAAATAGAAACCCTAAAGGAATGTGCTTACACATCCTCTCACGGCCCTCAGTCTGTAATCAGCTTCCCAAGTGTGCCAGCTTTCATGGCACCTACATTTGCAAGATGCAAAAACTTTGTATTTAAGTTCTGCCACGCTATATTAATAGGCATGTGTTTTCCATTTACAGCAAATAATATTCTTTTCTACTACTTCCTGTGAGGCAGACCTCACATTTGACCCAGTGGTCAGTGCTTTGACGCAACAGGAAAGGAGATTTTCAGTCCACAATCCCGGGCCTGAGGAGGATCTCTGTGGAAAGAACTACTCGGCCGGCTCCTGGTACACAGGAGAGCCTTCCAACCTCCGGTTTACACCCAACTTCCCAGGCTGCTAGTTTAGCTGGCTCTACACTGCAGGACAGCAGCTCTGCATCTTCATAGTGACGCCAACAGCACTCCTCAGGAGGCTCAGCCCAGCCCTCTCAGCTGCACCTGCAGGACACCAGTTCTGCATCTTCATGGTGACACCAACAGCGTTCCTCAGGAGGCTCAGCTTAGCCTCTCAGCCACAGGACACCAGCTCTGTGTCTTCATGGTGATGCCAACAGCGCTCCTCAGGAGGCCCAGCCTAGCCCTCTCAGCCACAGGACACC